TTTATAAATTTATAATTTAAAAAGTAATCGAAGCTTTTTTACTGGTGTGAAGTTATATTAATAGTCTATTATTATACGAGCAACTCGCTACGTTCGTGACATAAACTTAACCTCAGTGAATAATAGCTCATTATATGTGAGTAGAATACTACACTTTGTCCACGACTATTGAAATTGGTTCGATAAATTTATTTCTTTAAATAAATTTTGGAATAAAGTTTAAACGTCAAAGTGACACAAATTCAATGTTACCAACTGTAACCAACTTCACAACAATTTGTCAAAATTAAATGTCAATTTTGTAAAACGTCACTTTTTTTTAATGTTTAGAAAGTCCTAAAAAGAATAGTATATTACAGTATTAGTGAGGAAACTATGATTTTTCATTACCGCGTATGTCAGATTTCCACACAACCCGAAGGCTTCCACGTGTGGAACGTGAAGTTTTCCACGTGTGCTGTATAGCGTTTAGTTCAATCCTATTTAAAGAAGAGTTTATGCAACAAAACCAGAATTAATAAATGATTTGGAAAATCTCATATTTGAAGAAACCACCAACATCACTAGGGATATGCTCCTGATGGTTTGAACGTTTGGGTCATTGCGAGACCGAAGAAGGTCGACAATTTCAACATTTGTTATAAAAATCGTAATAAACGCGCAAAAAAACATGAAAACACTTTATTTTCCCATTTGGTAGTCAACCCCTCATAATTCTTGAAAGAATTAAGATATCGGGTTTTGGTTTATGTGGTTGTGTTTCTTTTTCCATTACCTTTAAAATAAGGTAAAACTCGATAGGGGTTGCTATTTAAAAATGTAGGGGTGGTCACCCCCAAAAAAAAATTCACATTGCACGGAAGTTTTAAACTATCTAAGAATGTAGTTTTTATGACTCTTTAGTGATCCCCCAATTTTCAAATATTTTTCTTCAAAACTTATAGCTCCGCCCCGGGAGTTTTGGGAAACCCTGTATAAATAAATGTTCCATCATATGAGGTAATTTTGTACATAAATTATGAGCCGCTGTTTAAATAAAACATACTTAAACCCCTGACCTCTCCTGACTTTAACAATGATTAAGATAGTTTCGTACCTTGGTTTCGTAGAAATGCCTCTCTAAACAAAAACGTCGTACTAAAAATGAAACGCATGTGGCGCCATCTATGGGGATATTTTGGAATTATTCAGCTAAGAACCGAACCACTAGAATACAGGTTGGATCGGGTTTACATATAAAAGCTCCAACCACAGAATAACTGTTTGGAAAGTGTTTGGAGCCACTATGTGGCTCCAATTAACGTTCCAACTGGTTGGGAATTCCTCAGATGCAATTACCTATGGCAATTACATCTGTCAAATAATGCCGTCACATTTGAATATCACGTCATCATATGACACGTGAGATTGCATGTGACGAGCTTCCAACCAGTTATAACGTTAGCTGAAACAAAGCTATAATGTCAATTATAATCTAATTATTTAATCATACCATTATTACTTTATTATACTTTTAGCAAAAAATCACTTTAAAATGACGATTTCATCTGTCATTCTGAACAAACTACAACTTTTTAAAAGTTGAAGTTAGCGACAAATTTAAAAATACTTTTTAAATTAAAAGAATGATACTGGTAATAATTGTTATTGCTATCTCTCATCATTCCCACTATTAATAATAAAATTGTTAGTTTAATTAAATTATTTCAGTATAGACGCTAATGCCATCTTACGGTGGGATTTCGACATACAATCAGTGCCAAGTTC